ATATGTGTAGGACCCTAAAGGATCACCATTAAAATTGGTATGGATATCTAGAAAAGTTATCATGTGGGTGTGGGACTTGACTTTTCTATCGATCTGTGTCAAATTTAATGGTGAACCTTTGGTGTCCTACATACATGGGTTGGGGAGGGTCCTATAGGATCATTTCTCTTACTTATAACTATTCGATATGAAATTCGATAGCTTGGGTACGTCACAAAGTTCGAAAAAATTATGTTGAAATTTGAGCTTTGTCAATAGAATAAATGCAGCCATCCAATTTCACATCAAACGGTCAAGATTAATTGTGACCTCCTTGTATCAAAAATAAATAGTCTCATTATATAGTTTTTTTTTTTAAAAAAATAGGGATTCCAATCTCTTTGCCTTTTTTTTAAAAACAAAAATATAGAGATTCCAATCTCTTTGCCTTTGCATTGTAGTAGAGCGATAGTGGCACACTGATTGATGAGTAGGGGTTTGTTCCGTGACACTTTTTCTTTGTTTTTCGTAAGTATCGTTGTATGAAATGGATCTTTTATTTTTTGTCTTGTTGCCTTTGATTTATTTATACACCTATAAAGTTTTCCCTAGAAAGAAACCTGGTACCCAAAAAAGAAAGCCGTGCACGTTTGTAAGTTCAATTTTTTGGGAAAAGCAATCGTTCCTCTTAGCTTACTTTTTGAGAGGGAGAATAAAACAATACTGCCTTCTTTTGAAATTCAAATTAAAGAAAAGAAAAAAAGAAAAGAAAAAAAGTTTATATAAGGTTGATACCTTAAAATATAGAATTAAGGTGTAACTATAAATTCCTTTGAAAAAAGTTATTTTTGATGCTGGACAAACATCGATCATCCCGATATTGAGATGTATAGATATGGAGAGAAAAAGAGATTTTAAGTCTTAAAGATAATACATCTTGCGACACATTATCTGGATCGTCTGTTTTCAAGATTTTTGTGCATTAACATATCTGTTTGATCTGAACTATTTTTGGGGTTTATTGTATAATTAGAGATAAAAGTAGATTATCGCACATCCTAAGAATTTTCGATATGAAAATTGCATATCATGGTAAAGTTTGAAGGTGCACCTTATTTTGATCATTTAAGGTTGCAACCTTATACAAGCCACACCCAAAAGAGAAATAACATAATGGCTGATCAAATGAAAAATAGTAGCTGAAAGCATAGAGAGATTCTTTACTAGAGAGTGTGGAAAAAAGTGGTTCATTGTATATGTTACTTTTTTTAGTAGTACATAGCTTTATAACCTTATAAATTTGGGCACTTGTTCACATCTTTCATAAGCTTTGAAATACATTTTTTATGGGGCTTAAGGCTCAAATAACAGAAATACAATTTCTCACATGGTATCGCGATTCCTTGACGACGTAAGTGAGATCCAAAAAAGATGAGAAGCCTCTCCTCAAGATTGGTTATGAAACCGTAGTTTCTGATCCCGCAGAATTGGAGAAGTATGCAGCGTACGTGCGGCATGATATTTATGGGACGATGGTGCAAAGTCCACTTCCTCTGACTGAGAAGCTGCTTCTGGGTTTCGCCATTGTTCTACTAGTGCCTCTTCGATTTCTTTTAGGGCTTTTGATATTGTTCGTGCCTCTTCAATTTGTTCTAGGGTTTTTGATATTGTTCGTGTATTACTAGATCTGTAGGTTCTGTATTCTCGGTTCCTTTTAGGAGGAACAAGAGGATTATGCTCACTTGACTGGGATTAGAAGGACCGTTATTGTGCAATGTGGAAGGTTCTTCTGAGAGCGATGCTCTTCGTGCTAGGGTTTTATTGGATCAAAGAGACCAACCAAATTCCTAATCAACCAAAAATCTTGTTACCAAAAAAAAAGAATTCACCTCTGAAAAAAAAAATATCGATTCCTCTAATGCTAAACACTTGGTGAACCGGATCTGAGACCCATCTCTAAATTCACTTCTGAAAATGGCAGATCCGCACCATCTGCAGAACAACTACTGAGTTGTATTTCAACTCTCTGATCTGTCTCTCTGCTGAGTCGTCTTTCGACTCTCTAATCAGTTTCTCTACTGAGTCGTGTTTCGACTCTCTCATCTGTTTTTTGTCGAGTTGTGTTTCGCCTCTCTGATCTGTCTATCTGTCGAGTCGTGTTTCGACTCTCTGATCTGTTTTGGATCTTACTGTTCTCAACTCTGAATCTAAAGTCCAACTGTGCTTGTTGATCCACTGGTGATTTCTGTTGGCTTTTCCAAGTGCCTCCTGTTTGATGATCAAATTTCTCGATCCTAGTTGATGATCACGTTTTCTATTACTCGATCATGTTTAATACTCGAGTTTTTCGTTAGTCAATCCTATTGGATGATAGAGTTTTGCATTGCTCCATCCTGTGTGATTATCGAGTTTTTTCCGTTACTCGATCAAGTCTGTTCCGGAGGCATGTTGGTTTGCTGTTAAGCGAGACTACTTTATCCAAGGCATCGGTTTCTGATGATCACTAATTTGCATCTGCTCAAGCTTCTTTTGTTCCTGCTTTGAAGGCATGCCTTCAATTATCCAAACTCAAGTTGCTCACTCGTAACTCATATTGAGTTTGAGGCGGAGTATAGAAAATATAGAACCTTACACTTATTGTTTTATACAATATTTTCCTCCATAAAACCTTTTTTTTATGTGTACCCATATTAGGAAAGTGGTCCATTGTATATATTATTTTTTTAGTAGTACACAGCTTTACAACCCTGTAAATTGAAATTCTTGTTTAAATCTTTGATAAGCTTTGAAATACAGCTTTCATGGGGCCTTAAGCCCAAATATACATAATTACAATTTCTCATAGAGGGAGATCCATTATAGAGAGAAATGGAATTAGTAGAGAGAGAAATGAAACTTGAAGAGAGATGTTGGTAAGGGAAACAAAGTGGATTTTAGAGAGAGAGTTTGTAATGTATTACACTCGAAAAAATCAGATTTTAGAGAGTAAAGAAAAAGAATATTTTTGAAGGGGAGAGAGGTGTTTAGTGTAAGGAGAATGTGATTTTAGAAAGAACTAAAAATAACACACTTTTAGCCATAAATTAAAAAAACATACTTTTTTAAAGTGGGGAGACAGGTGTTTAATGAAGGTGTTCATATATAGGGTGCGGTTAGCATGTGGCCAGCCCACATATTGTAGAAATGCGGGCTTGGCAATAAATATATTTTTTAAATATAATTTGATCCTAATTTCAGAGAATATATAATCTTTAACATGTAGATCATGAATATGAAAAAATAAAAATTTTGAAAACTAAAAATATTAATTATATTAAAAAAACATTTAGATCATTAGTTACAATTGTTTCTAGATGGACCACCTATTTGTATCCATCTTAGTTGGATGCTTTGTAACTTTGGATCCCATATTATAGAAAAACAGTTTATAGAAATGCGGTCTAGCCCGCATGAAATAATTTTCCATATATATATGTTAAACTTTTTAAAAGTTGTTTTTATTTTATTGAAAGTAATTTGTAAAAAATTACATACTTTTAGTAAAAAATAATTAAATATAAGGAAACTAACAAAAAATTAAATAATTAAATAATAATAAAAGGTTTCTATAAAAAAACTAATAATATAAATTTCAAATAAATTGTCTACTCTTGATAAGATTAATTGCCATCTAAATAGGCACTTATATTGTAAATATGACTCTAGAAGAGGAGCAATATTGTCCTATCGTCACTCATTTTCTCAAAGTGACAGACCCAATATCCATTGTCATTCATGTTGGTGATACTTTCTTAAAATTATATAATTAATTAAGTAAATATATAGATTGAGGGCCAATTTAATGATATCTTTATACTTAGAAACTTGATTGAGAAGAAAAGAAAAAAAAAAAAGGTCCACAAACAAATTTGTAAAATGGGAAATTTGTAAATTTGTCCCCTCCCCCTTTTTTTTTCTTTTTTTTTGAAAATTATATAAAATGCTATTCAAAATTTGTAAAATGGGATTCAAAATTGTGAATATATATATATATACATAACTCTTGAAAGCTCTTTTTCAAATATCATGAAAACTGTTACTCAAAAGATGATGCACTTTATGGTATATGCTCTATCGGGTCATGATGGTGGTACCACTATTGCCCCATTTAAGTTTTAGGCTTCTATTCTCACCAAATGCATTAAAAAACTACTAATGATTTAAAAAAAACGGGTAGGGATTCGTCATCCACACTAAATTAACCAAAAAAAAAAAAAAAAGTCTAGTGATCAGCAATCTCTCCAATCTATTTAGGGGCAAGAAAAAAAGAAAGAAAAAATAAATTATAAATCATGTTAAGTGCCAAAAAAAGAAATCAACAATGATTTTCCAAATTTTGGATAGTTGCATCTAATTTTCTGGAAACTTAAAATCCATTTCTTTTTTTTTTTGTTCTTTTTGAAAGCACTCATTCTTAAGGGTGACGATTTGTTGGGTTCGGGTTGGGTCTGCTTGGACCCAGACCTGGACCCAATCTTTCGAGTCCAAAATTTGGACCCTTTTTCGGACCCGAGGTCGGGTCTACTCGTCGGGTACTGGGTCTGGTGGAGTCCATTGCTGCCCCTTGTACGACTCCAAAGACGATCTTAAAATTCAAAATCACGAAAATACTCCAAAATAAGTATTTGACTTGAGTTAGTAAATGTAGTGTGTTCCTGGAGAAGCATGGTATATTCTTTTCAAGGTCTTGTCTCCATACCATTCATTATTGAAGGCACAAATACCTAATATATAGTGGCCACGTCAACCAAAGATTCACCCAACTAAGGCTCCCCAAAGGACCAACAATTCACTTATTTCTTTTGTCCTCATTTATTTGTTTCCTTGGTTTAATGGAGGTCTACTCAGTTTCACGAACACGGCAGGAGAAAAGGGAGATGCATGATTTTGTGTTGATGAATCTCAACCTCATGAATTCTCTTCTTAATAAGGAAATGATGAGATGATGGGCCAGTGTCTCTTACTTTGAGCGAGGAGAAAAGGGAGATGCATGATTTTTGTATTGATCAATCTCAACCTCACGATTTCTCTTCTTAATAAGGAAACGATGAGATGACGGGCTAGTGTTGTCAAGAGGAGAAACTTGAGAGAGGCATGGATATTCTGCCGGATGAGGAATCTCAGTGTGTCGTTAAAGATGTAGAGAGGGAGGGAACAACCGTGCTCCGCTCTTGCTTGAATTGCCTCAATAACTTATGTGGTATATCCCTTCTTCTCTCTATCTCTCTCTTTTTGACAAAGTTATGTAGGAATGGAAGTTGAGATGTCACGCTATGAAAACCCAGCCTCTCTACCGTCTTGACCCAAACCTGATTCCTCTTTCTCTATTTTTTAAAGTGTGAGCTTGAGATCTTGGTTTCTCTCTCCTTTTAATGTTAACTTAGAGTCTAGAGAAACTCAAGACCAAAAGTCACGTTGTACTTGGATTTGACCTAATCAGGTTTGGTCCAGTTTTAAGTAAATAAAATGTACATGAGTTTTTTTTGTTACGTATATCTTTATAATACATAGAGTTGTAGGTTTGTGACCTAGACACAACCCTACTTGATAAGGTTCTTGAACCGGATTTGCTGCATCTTGTATCTGGATCTGGATCTAGACTTGTACCTTGGTCCACATGACCCTATTGCTACCCCTAGTGATACTTTGCCACCCTGACAATTTAGGTCTCTCTCCCCTCCGTAAGAATTTAGGCTTAATCATGTTAGCCAAATGATTTCATGCTCGCGAGGGAGCACATGTCCATTTACCTAATCTATGCATATTTTTGGGATCCCAAATTTTAGGGATATAATCTTCTCAATTCATTCATGTGCCAATCTCAATAAAATAATAATAATAATAGTATCCAAATCGCATTCTTTATAGGCTTGAAAAAAATAATGCCTCAGAATTCAATATAAAATCTCTAATTTTTTAAGCATGAGATGTAAATAATAGAAAACTCAAAATTTATTTTTTTATTTTATTTAAACATAATCATCTAGTGATTTTTTGATAGTTATTAAAATTTTGGATAAAAACGTTCTTAAATAAGTCTTTTGCCCAAGAAAGTGAGTATGTAGTATGCTCTTGTGGGAGTATAATATAAGCGCTCATCATGTTATTCATATTGATGACCGGTGGGTCTTTCTGTGTCCCTTTGCCTCTCTCCCCCGTTACAAGCTCAGATATAAACTTCCACGCTCTTTCTTGTTGCAAACTTTGTTACAAGCTCTTTCTCTCCGCTCCCCCTCCCCCCCCCTCCTCTCTCTCTCACTCTCTCAATGTTACATCCACCTTGTAATGGAAAACCTATTTACAACATCCTATAGTTCTAATTTTTTATCAAAACATTTATACAAAGTCACATCCTTATAAAATAGAAGTAAGGTGTGCCTCAAAACTCCCGTAGAAAAGAATGTTCCGAAACTATAAAAGCCTTCTAATTGATCATCTTGACTTCGAGAAGTATGAGTACGAAGATGGACAAAAATTTTACGTCCTAAAAATAATACATCTTGCAACAAATTATCTTAACGGTCTACTTTCAAGATTTTTATGTGCTTATCGATCTGTTTGATTTGCACCATTTTTTAAAATTTAATTCCATGGTTAGGGTTGAATATGGATTGTCAAGTCATCTTAAAGTTTCTGCCAAAAGAACTACATCTTCGGGTAAAATTCAGATATGTGCCTTACTTGTATGGTATAAGGCGGACACTAATTAAAAGTGGTATGCCTAACGCCTAGGCTGGCTAGGGGTGGCCTGGGCACATTGCCTAGGCTTGAGCAGACCAATTAGGTGGGTTGTCCTTGGACACATGCCTAGGGACCTTAGGCGCCTACCTAGTACTCCACCTAGGCGGGCATCCAGGGGATTGCGCTTGCTAGGGGTAAAAAGACCCATCGGATATTTTTTGTGCTATTATGATTGGTAGTTTTTTGTATTTTTTATATTTGGATTATTAAAATGCAAGAATATGTTTTTTATATGCAAAATCTGGACCTAAAACAGAATTACTGGACACTTTTGCTGTCTTTTGAACCTATATTGCCCAAATTATGGATGGTCTGGGTGGCCTAGACCCCCTTTGCCCCTAGGTGCCACCCGACATTATTTGGAACAGTCAGATGACACCTTATACAAATCTCACACTTTGTTTTTAAATAAATTACCTCTCTCTCACAAACGGATTGCGTATATATCTCTCTCACTACAGCTTGGGCTTTGACCAGCTTTCAATGCACGTTTGTATGTAATTTTTTTTTTCTAGGGTAATTCAGTGGAAATGACGAGTCCCTACCTCTTTTTTAAAATTATTAGTGATTTTTTAATGAGTTAGGTGAGAATGTTTTTTAAAATTATTAGTGATTTTTGAATGAGTTAGGTGAGAATGTTTTTTAAAATTATTAGTGATTGTTGAATGAGTTAGATGAGAATGTTGTATGCAAATTTTTTTTACTCAAAACCTTTGCTCATTGACTTACTCTGGGTGTTGTGATCATGTATGGATTTGATCTTGTTTTTTGTTTTTTTAAAAAGAGCACGTATGACATGCTCTCATGTCGTCACACTGTATATTTATTCCTTCAGGTAAATACTTGAAGGAAAATGGTTTGATAGGACTGTAAGGAAAATGGTTTGATAGGGCTGCAACCTTATCAAAATAAGTAAAGCCTCACTTTGTAGCTCATCAAAAGTTGCCATTCAAAGATTGGAAAAATTTTACATCGATCATCTAGGCTAGAACATTATGGTTGTGAAAAGAAAATAGGATTTCAAGCTCTAAAATTAATGTATAATGTAACAAATTATCTAGACCGTCCATTTAGCTCTAAAGATAAGTTTTCACAAAACCACAAGATCTGTACTATTTTTCAAGTTTTAAATTTAGAGGTGAGGCCTTATTTTGTTTTCAAAACCCTAGGCCTTATAGAAACTTCATCCATACTTTTAAGTAGTATTTTATACATCTAGAATCTTTTGGCATAAAAATTTGTGCTCAAATTCCTTTAATTTTCTCTGTCTTGAACTCTTTCCCTTGTCCACAAAAATATAATCCACCCCAAAGATTAAACTTATAATATGGTTTCTACTTTCTACCATAACCATTATAAATTATAATATTTTTTTCCACAAAAGCTATGAGAAAACCATGTAAATCTAAAATATGTTTCCTGTTTGATCAGGAGTAGGAATACTATCAATTCCATATGCACTCTCAGAAGCAGGGTGGATTGGGCTGGCTCTCCTCTTCCTCCTGGCCATTATTTCTTGTTACACTGGCCTTCTTATCCAAAGATGCATGGAGAAAGATAAAAGCATCAAAACCTATCCAGACATAGCCAACAGAGCCTTTGGCTATAGAGGGAAAGTCATAGTTTCAGTGTTTCTCTATGTAGAGCTCTATTTGGTAGCCATAGAATTCTTGATCTTAGAAGGAGACAATATAGCAAAGCTGTTCCCCAATATGAGTTTCAAAGTTATGGGGTGGAGAATTGAGGGAAGTAAAGGGTTCACAATTCTTTCTTCATTAGTCATACTACCTACTGTTTGGCTGAGGCGCTTGGGTTTGCTTGCTTATGTTTCGGCCGGAGGGATTTTGGCTTCGCTGGTTGTGGTTTGTTTGGTTTTTTGGGTGGGAGCGGTTGATGGAGTCGGATATCATTCGAAGGGAGTGGCTTTGATTCCTAGTGGAATTCCAACTGCTGTTAGCATATATGCCTTCTGTTACTGTGGGCATGCTGTCTTCCCTACAATCTGTTCTTCCATGAAAGACAGGACCAAGTTTTCAAAAGTAAGAACTTAAAAGGTTTGATCAAATATAAATAACCTTCTTACTTTTTTCATTTTACATATATTTTCCTTAAAATTTTAAGTTTTATAGGATTTCTTTGAATTGGTTTATTGTCGAAGTAAATATGATTTTAAATGTGTTATAAAACATAGACACTCAAATATACAAGATGTATGGAAATGAATTTTTGTTTTCTATCATTTCATTTTTGTTTGTAAGACTTGCATTCTTTGTAATGTTTAGGTTTCTAAAGTTTCCCTTGTGTTTTACCAAGAATAAATTATGATTTAAAATCTTTCATGTAATTTCATCACTGAGAAATTCCTCAAACAAAAAATTAGTCCATAACGGTCAAAACCAATGTTTTAAAAATCGGCGAGTCGAACCGGACTCGGAAACCGCACAGCCCGTACCCATTCCATCATAAAACCGGGAACCGCTCGGTTCCAGAGAGAACCGCCGGTTCCCATCCGGTTCACGCACGTGCTCTTGTTCCCATCCGGTTCACGCACGTGCTCTTGTTCATCCGTGTGCACTCACACGTGCGCACGTACAAGGTTGCTCCAATATTTTTGGACATTGCCCGCTTCTACAAGAGAATCGGCGATTCCGACCGATTGACTGTATAGAATCGTATGGTGACGTCATGCCTCGGCATGTATGACGTTTCCAAGGGTAATTGGGATATTTGTCTTAAAATTAAAGGTAATATCGACATTGTCGTACGGCAGTACCATATTCATATACAACCAAGTGTTATCCCATGTACTGTTCGCTCGCACGCTGTTGAGGAGCTCATCCTCACATGTTTTATAAACTTGAAAGTCGCTTGATATTTCCGATGTGAGACAATTCCCACTTGCCTTCAACAGCGTGCAAGCCATTGTCACACAAGCCATTACCTAATAAAACGGGCACATAGTTTTTCCAAGCCATTAACTATTGCAAGCCATTGTCCATATGTGTAGCGTTTTAATTTAGCGTGTCAAATTAATAGCACTAATAAACATCTATATAAAATTTAAAAATAAATTAATAGCACTCATTAATTTAGTGTGTCAAATATAATTTTTTTGATGTTTATTAGTAAAATAATTTTTTGATGGGTTTTATTAAAATATTTTATTTTTATTTTTATTTTTTTGTAGCTATTGTGCATATTGCTGATAGGATTTTTTTTTAAATTTTGGTATCTTTATTTTTCATTTTTTTGGGTAAAGTTAATTTGAATCTTTTAATATAATTACATTAGAATTTATTGGTGGTTTTATTTTTAAGTTTAGTCATATGATATGGATGCCTCTTCTAATAATTTTTAAATCACTTTTCAATTAGATAATATTCTAAAATATTTTTAATTTGTTATTATTTATCTAATAAAATAGTTATAAAATATAAACTAATAATTATAATTTTAGTATATAATATTATAATTAGTTAGGTTGTAATAATTTTGGATTATAGTTAGTTAGGCTGTAATAATTTGAGTTTTTTTAACGGATTAGGGTTTTTTGCCAAAACGAGATTTTAATGGCCATTCTTTCATTGATTAGTCTACACTTTATAATAGTCCATGTATAATTATCTATTTTATCCATGATAATTCTATGATTTTTTTTTATGTGATGCAAATTTAATATTTAATTTAAGTTTATACAGGGAAAGAACATCTCAATATATACAAATTGATGAGAAAAATGAAAGTTAATAATGTAGTACCCTCATTTCTTATTGGATTCCTAAAAAAAAACATTTATAATGAATTTTAATCATTTTTTCGGATTTTTTTGAAGCTTTAATCCGACCGATTCAGCCGATTCCCAATCTGGATCGCCGATTCGCCGATCCGGATGGGTTTTTGAGGTGCCCAATCAGGGTCACCGATCCGCTTTTTAAACGATTGGTCAAAACTATTGTCATTATGACATCTAGGACGGAAGGTGACCTCGTGGGACTGTTGGATGGTGCTTTGGCCGGATTGCTGCAAAGCAAAAATTGAGTTTGGGGCTGAAAATCAGTCAAAGTTGACTACTTTTAGTTGGTAGAGCAATATATTTTTTACCAATTGGACTGGTTAAATAAGGCTATACAATTTTTTTATTTTATATTTATAATATATTTCATATCTGTAAGCTATTCTTTCTACTTCTTTTTTTTCTTTTCAAAAATTTAGTCCAATTGATTTCTATTTTTCTTTACTTATTCTTCCCAATGGGACTTGTGGCCAGTTCGATTCCGATAATATTACTCTGAACTACATGACTTTGAATAATTAAATTCCTAAACCTAAAAACAAGAAGGAAAATTGGAGGCTAGATTTATCCTGTATTTTGTCTACATAAAACTGTTGAAATATTCACCTTGTGATGCTAAAATTTCATTATTAATTATGATTATGATGATTTGCATTGATAATTAGATATCTGAATATGTTCAATAAGCAATATATATAAATATATATATATATATATA